CTCAAGTTCTGTGGTGAGTCGAACTCCTGGACTCTCATTTCTCCTGTCTCCTGAAATTGCCTTCAAAGTAGAAGAGCCACTTCATCCCCCAGATCTGAGGTGACAGCTCGGTGGTGTTCGTAGTTTTTCAGTCTGGGAGTCTCACTCCCCAAGTTCTGCTGACTTGCCAAAATCCATTTAAAACTTGCTTCCCCCACCATCATCCCCGCAACAAAAAGCCCAGCTTCACTTTACTTCACACCATATAATTGAACTTTCTGGATGAGAAGTTGCACCTCAGACATTTAGCCATGGTTTTCACAGTCAATAAATGAATAAATTAAAGAGCTCCCGACAGCTGCGGTTCCTGAGTTGAAGAATCATTTCGCCTCAGTCATCTGACTTCATTTCCCACCCTTCCCTTTAAGGCGGAGGTGAATTTGGTGGGTGGATACAGTTTCTGTTTTTTTCCGATTAGAATTTAAAAATTAATATTTATAGTTAATCAGCCACAAATAATTTCCTCATAGTAGCAGTTTCCATACTTAGAGAAAGTCCAGTGGAGCTGTGAGGGTTTCTTGTGCCCAGCTTCTGAATTTTTTTTTTTTTTGGTGGTAAAATACACATAACAAAACTTACCATGTCAACCATTTAAAATGAAATTCTGTGGCATTAAGTATATTTACAATATTTTGCAACCATCACCAGTATCTATTTCTAGAACTTTTTCATCATTCCATACAGAAACTCTGTACCCATTAAGCAATAACTTTCCATTCCCCCTTCTTCTCAGTCCGTGGCAACCATCATTCTATTTCTGTCTCTACGAACTTGACTATTCTAGGTACCTTATATAAGTGTAAATTATATTAAATATAACCCTTCTGTGTCTGGCTTATTTCACTTAGCATGTTTTCAGAGTTCGTCCATGTTGCAGTGTGTATCAGACCTTACTCCTTTTTATGGATAAATGTATTCCACTGTGCATATATACCACATTTTATTTATCTATTCATCTGTTGATGGACACATTATTTACAAGAGCCAAAAGATCCACTTTTTGGCTCTTGTAAATAATGCTGCTGTGAATGTTGGTGCACAGGAATCTGTTTGAGTCCCTGCTTTCAATGCTTTTGGGTACATGCTTAGGATTAGAATTGCTGGATCACATGGTGATCCTATGTTTAACTTTTTTGAGGAACCAGCCCCTTATCTTTAAAGGTAAGGAAGCAAAGGATCAAAAAGGACCAATTGTTTTTCAAGCCCATACTTACTAAGAATGTTTGATTATTATACACTTTTTTTCATATACTTCTTCCCACCTTAAAGTGTATCTCATGACCTTCTAGAGGGCAGGAAGCTCAGTTCATGTTTATATTCCCAGTGATTAGCTGTGCCTGGTACATGATCAACTTTCAGAAAATATAATAGGTGTTTATACAACAACATTTTTTAATGGAACTCTTTCAAAGACTCAGAGCAAAATAATAGATGGCAAGTGCCCTCAGGTTCCAAAGTACGGTGTAAGACCATGTATGCTAATGAGGTTTCTATAAGCCTTCTTGTGGCCTTCGGCATATAAAAGCACTGTGGTTGGAGATGTCAAGAGAATTTCCTCGGATGTGGTTGGTGATGTGTTACGGCATTTTCCCCTTCACCAGGGTGTCACTACTGGGAGGAGGCTGGGCTTCTGCTGATGGCAAGGTAAAGACACACTGTAGACCAAATGTAGGCCACTTGGAAATGGCATCCTGCCAGCAAGAAGCTGGAAGTGCACTTTTAGATGCAGAAACTGATGAGAATGTCCTAAGAAGACAGCTGGAGGAAAGCGCTCACCTTTCAGTCAAGAGAGCTGCAAATGGACATTTCTAGTAGGTGCCCCATGAGAGAGTCAGCAGGGGAATTGCCCATATGCACAGAACATGTTAGTAGATCTTGACA